CAGTAGGATTTGTAGAACTGAAAATCATCATTCAACTAGTTTGGGTATCAGAGGCAAAACTGATTAGATTGACTATTTTGTCCTGAGTGAATGATGTGATCCAGGCCTGGATTTGGACTGCCTTACTGTTTTTATGACGGCGGATTTCTGCTTATTGAAGAGCACAGCATATGGGACCAAACATTGCCCTGGCTGTAGCTGATGGGAATTTTATTTTACTGTTGGTGGGAAGACAATATTACAGTCATGGCAATTGGCAAAGCTGAAGTGGCAATGAGGCTGTGTTCTGTTAATCAGCAGTTTTCACTCAACAGCTATTCAGAAGTGTGGGAAAATTCTCCTTTCCAAAACTAATTTTCCATATGCATTAATAACAACCTCAATTTTTATGCTTGGGGAGTGTGAGTGAAAGTTTCTGCCTGCTTAGTTGTCAAAAAATTATACCACCATCTAAATAATATTGGCAGAACAAATGCCACTTGACTGCAGCTGATGGGGGTATACATTTTTAAAAAAATATTTCCTAGAGGAACAAATTCATCCAACTTCAATTCATTATTCCAGAATATTTCCTAGTGACACCAGGACAGCTTCTCTGGAAAAGAAATGGATTTCAAGGCTGCAGATTTAGCTAAAAAAATAAGATTTCATCTCTCTGGAAACAACAAGGTATCAAATTAATACTAGCGTGCTGTAGTGAACTGAAAGTTGCCTTGCACAATGCTGCTGAAGCCATAAGTACTTCCCTATCAGCCAGTGAGGTTTTTAAAGAAGGTGCACACGGGTGGCGCTGTGGCGTAAACCACAGAGCCTAGGGCTTGCCGATCGGAAGGTCAGCGGTTCGAATCCCTGCGACGGGGTGAGCTCCCGTTGCTCGGTCCCTGCTTCCGGGTCATGTGGCCAGCATGACTAAGCCGCTTCTGGCGAACCAGAGCAGCACACAGATATGCTGTTTACCTTCCTACTGGAGTGGTACCTATTTATCTACTTGCACTTTGACATGCTTTCGAACTGCTGGGTGGGCAGGAGCAGGGACTGAGCAATGGGAGCTCACCCCATCACGGGGATTTGAACTGCCGACCTTCTGATCGGCAAGTCCTAGGCTCTGTGGTTTAACCCACAGCGCCACCCGCGTCCCGTAATGGAGATGGTACCCAACTCTATATCTCCATTACATCTGAGGCAGGTGAGACTGAGGCAGGTGACCCTGCAAGTGGCAATGGAGATCCCATAGAACAGCATCGCCAATACATGAATACTGTTGGCGTGGGGGCTAGTGGAACAGAATACTAACACCAACATACAAAGCACACATCTTGCCCCTCTAATGCAGAAGGGAAGCTGTTAAGAGAGCCTTAATGTTACATCTGTGCCTGCCCACAGTCTTCTGCTGGAATAGAGAGCAAATAACTGTGCTGGACTAGTAATGATTATCACCAGGAGGTGGTCTCTGTCATTAACAGTGAGGTTTGCTGCCACAGTAGGTCAGGACAGGATCACCAACTGTGCAGCTGTTTCTTTAGGAATAAGAGGATTTAAGCAGTCAAAGTGAAGCTTATTTTACCTTACTGATTCCAGCAGGAGCTAAAACATTGGAAAGAAGGCATGACGTGTAGGAGAACAAAAATAAAACACCTAAAATGGGATGTTTAATGCACATGTTTTCACCATTAACACTTTACAATGCTTTATAGAAGCCCAGCCAAAGCACAAAAAATATAAGCGTTACTATGGAATACTGCCCAGATAACTTAAATGGCTAAATAAGGGAAATGTCCCACAGAGCCAGCCCACAAGCATTGGCTGAGTGAGTGCTATCCATTAGAGAGACACATCTCACCATCTTTATCACTGAATAGGGATTGCAGAAATTTGCTGCACTACAAGATTTGCAAATATCAAGAGCACATTCTTAACAGTTCAGCCATAAGAGTCAGAGAACTGAGTGCAGGCAGAATAAAAAGGCCTAATTACCTTCAGAAAGAAGGAGCAATCAGCACAACCACCAAATGGAAAAAAAATCTCACCATTATTAGATAAAAAATATTCCTCAGGAGCACTAAATAAGCATTTGCACTGTATCAGCCATGCAGACCTAGAGACATCTATAGGGCGTGTGTTGTACAGAAGTAGGCAGATAAGGAGAAGCGTGCAACCAGTTACATGTAAGGTTTCTTTCCTGAACCAACTCTAATCAGAAAATTGGGGAGAGATCCAATTAGCTGTTTGGAAGTGGAGGCTTGGTTACTATCACTCTGCCCGCTCCTTTCCTGAATTATTATTATTTTATTATTATTTATTCAATTTGTTAGTCATTTTATCTTGCCCTGGTCAAGCCACAGTGACTTACAACCCTGAATAGCTGATCAGCACCATAACAATGATCTGTGAGCTACAGGCACACAACCTATTGTACACAAGCATAGTAGAATCAGGGCAAAAGCTTGGCAGGCTCAGAATGACTCCACAGAATGACTCTGCTTCAAACTGAAGAGCCACTGCCAGTCCGAGTAGAAATTATGAAGAGCCAAAAACAGACAAATGGCCCCACATTGTGTATGTCACTATTTTTCATTCCTGCAGATCTGATATGTACCTTTCCCTCACTTGACTCATGGAAGCTGATCAGCTTTGAAAAGCACTTCCTTTAACAGCAATAATTGGTTAAGACCGAAGTCTCAATACCCGGCTGGTTTCAAAAACCACTCTCAGCAAATTACACAGCAAACATCTGCAGGGAATTCTAGCCTGCACCATGATGTCAGGCAGCAGCTGTCCTGAAGGAGGACTCCGCTGAAAGGGTCCTGAGAGCCAGTGAGGAACATTGTGGGGGAACGAGCCTCTCAGACTTGTTTGGTAATCCTCCCTCTGCCTCTCCCGGCGGACAGACCTGACACCTCATACAAGCCTGAGAATTAACTGTGCTCATAAAATTAGGAAACAAGAGTCCCATAAAGTTGTAATGAGCTTTGGGTTTCAAAATTCTACGGGTAACTATCCTCTGACCAAGGGAGCCATAAAAGACGCCTTTAAAAAGCAGCTTTTCCATGTATTTACGAAACACCCAATTTTCTTAAACATCTCATACAAAAGAGGCCCTGCTTTTTACCCGGTTTACTTCATGTTCTCATGATGTGCAGCATCTGTTAAACAAATTCATATCTTTTTTAAAAATGCTAAAAAGGAAACAAGATTTCTTGCTCTCCTTTTTTTAAAAAGCAAAACAAAAAAACACCTCTCTGGTATTGATTCATTGTGGGCTTATACACAAAATGGCTGGGCCTCTTTTGTCTCATAAAGTCACTTCACAGGCAATATTAAGGGACAGGAGGGTCACAAAGTGAAAAAGTCCACACAAGCTGTTTCTGATGCAACTTTGTTTCTTACACAGAGAACTCAACATATAAAATATTTCTAGAGGGACTAGTTGTGTTAGTCCATCGCAACAAAAGCAACCAAGAGTCTTGCAGCACCTTAGAGATGAACAAATTGATTGTGGCATCTGATGAAATGGACTCTGGTCCAGGAAAGCTTATGCCACCATCAATTTGTCGGTCTTTACAGTGCTGCAGGACTCTTGGTTGCTTTTGCTATATGGAAAATGTTGCCCTGTAGTGAAAAAATCCACAAGGATTACACAGGAAAGACTCAAAAGCAGGATACTAAATAATTGCAGATTCCTGCCTGCAGATCTTTCTTTCAACATCAACATTTCTGGACCCAAAGAATACCATGCGGTATTCCATTGTTGAAGTTCAACACCGCAAGTCTGAATCTGGCTAGTAGTATACAGATGGGGGTCTACCAGGAAATTCCATGGGAGCTGCTCTCTCTTTGTTTGAGGAAAGATGGGACAGAAAAACAAAGAAACATATTTAGGGTCCATTAAAAAACACCACTCCTATAGAGGAAAAGTGTTGCCAACCTATCAGAAGTCAAGGAGATAAAGAACTACAAAACTTTCAGAACACATCTGAACACATCTGAAGGTATCTGTATCAGAAAGTTTTTAATGTTTGACATTTTTATATGTGTTGGAAGCCACCGAGAGCGGCTGGGGCAACCCAGCTAGATGGGTAAGGTATTACTATTACTATTACTATTACTACTACCAGTAGTACTACTACTATTATTATTATTTCATAACTGTCCCCCACATAAAGTTCTACTGATGTGCCTGAGAATGACAATTCATGGTTCCCCTTTCAGAATCATTTTCCTACATCAGACAAATAGATAAATCCCTTTGGCCTCTGTGGTCTGGTTCTGACACAACATTAAGACAGATTTCATTCCCAGGGAATGCAATAGCGGGAACAGAGTGTACCATCATCGCTTCACTGGGGGATATGCTTTTCAAGTGTCAAGCTACACATGATGATCAGCCAAGTAAATGTTTTTTCCCAAAGGTTTTTTTTTAATACCCGAAGCAGCTGTGGGAAGTACATAAGTATGGAGGGCTAGCAGGATGGTGGCACTTGTTACTTTTCCCCATCTGAATTACCTTTTGCTCCATGCGGGGAAGAGATGAGTATCCATCCAATGAGGGGCGGGGGACAGTTCAAGACAGGATAATTTAAATGTGATCAAACACCCACAGGTAACAGGATAAGCAGCCCCTTCTTCTCAGCATGAACATCTGGAACAGACTGCTGCTTTTTACTGTGGCTATGGGTAAAAACTTAGGGGTCACATCAATCATGTGCAGTTTGTATCTGATGAACAATATTGTTCCATGTACCTGCCCTTCCTCCATTATTCCATAACCAGCTGGTGGCTTCAAATAGCTCTGCAAACTGGTCCTATTACTGTCCCTTGCCCATCACACACACCACCAAAGCTAAGGGAGGCATCCATTCTACAGTGTAGAGTGTACCTTCTCACAACCCAACTGCCCATGGCTGCTACTGTGTGAGATGAGGAAAATCTGGTCATGTGAATCCAAAAGAACCTTGTGTGTACAGTGCATTGACCACAGCACTTTTAACACGTCAGATTACCTGAAGTCCAAAGAAAGCCATCAGAATGGAGTTGATTGTACCCAAAATGCCTTCAGGATCAAAAGGTTGAGTGGTTTTGTACAGCTCCTAACAGGAAAGAAAACATCGCTTTGGTTACTCAAAACTCCGAATATCTAAAACAGCAGGCAGCCTCTCAATTTACAATATTACAAGTCACAAAATAAATGTCGGCCACATAAGACAATGTGGCATACATCCAAATTGTCTCACTTCCTTAAATATGCATATCTATTCATTGCATCAAACACAGTCATTAATGCAAGAAATTCAGAGGCAGCCGGCTCATTTGTTCATTTATCCTGTGCCAGAAAAATGTAACTCCCTTTTTAAAATAAATTACCATTTCTATACCAAAGACATCCAAACAGAGGCAGATTTAGGGAAGCGCAACCAGTTTGGTTGCACTGGGCCTGGACCCTTGGGGGGCTGCAAGGGATACCACAACTATGATTTAAAATGGAGTATGAGATTTGGGGAGGGTGGATGAATTTTGGTGTGGCACAGCGCACCCTGAAATTTGAGACCCCAATGTTCGCTTCTGATCCAGATCTTTTCTCTGAAGTGATTATACAAATACAAATGTTATATAATTTTTTGCTTCATTTCATCCCCCCTCCCACAGTTTATTTTGAAGCAATAACAAAAACAATAACATTAGGAATAGGCAGGCATCATATAAATCTGTAACACTGATAGCAGCTAATATAGCATTCTTATTAAGAACATAAAATATAAAACGGTATAGAAAATATGTGAGTAATAATAATAATCATCATCATCACCACCACAGAAGCCTCAACAAGTTGCCTGTTGAAATGGCAGTCTAGTTACAGTTTTGAGACATGAGGTGGTTACCAGTCAGCTTCTTTCACAAGGTGTTTTTAAACCCTTGGGAGGTTTACAGCAGCTATATGGGAAGCTGACAATCTGCAGCATCCATCCATCCATAATGAGGGAACACTCTACTATGCCAACTTCATTATAAATTTATTGGACACAGCAAAATTTGCCTTATGCCACTGCTGGACACTACAGATCACCAGCTCGTAGAGATGCCATGAATATTCAGAATTCAGTAAGATTTCAAACTAAGATCACGTATCTAGTTTTGCAGAAGTTTTGACAATACCAGTTATGGGGGGTTTTTTGGCGGGGAGAAGTGTCAACTAAAAGCAGGGAATGATGAAAAAGAGGTCCTCCTCAAGTCTTTCCAGCTTTACTGATCTCAAATCATTGCACACATGCAAGTAACATGTATAAAAACACATGTACACCAGAAAAGTGTGCATAAGATACATGTATTAGTGAAAATAACGGGGGGGCACTATATTAGGGGAAATTGCAAAAATCTGCATATTGGGCAAAAAAAAGAGAGAGAGAGAGAGAAAATTTCACTAAAATACTGTTTGATTCTCACCAAGAGCACATCCTTGCCTCATATTAGGTCCTTGGCCAATTCTGTGGCACTGGCAGTTAAAGGATATCAGACGGGGGGGGGACAATTTGGGGACCCATTGCTAACCAGGATTAATAAATATTCGGAGCTAGATGGGCCACTGTTCTGATACAGGGTTGTGAAAAGTCAGCCCATTCGGAGATTCAAGACCAACACACTTCCCAGAGCTTCCTATTGCTCCCTGATCCTTATACAGTGGTACCTCGGGTTAAGTACTTAATTCATTCCGGAGGTCCATACTTAACCTGAAACTGTTCTTAACCTGAAGCACCACTTTAGTTAATGGGGCCTCCTGCTGCTGCTGCGCCGCCGGAGCACGACGTCTGTACTCATCCTGAAGCAAAGTTCTTAACCTGAAGCACTATTTCTGGGTTAGCGGAGTCTGTAACCTGAAGTGTATGTAACCTGAAGTGTATGTAACCCGAGGTACCACTGTATACCTAGAATTTTACTGTACCTTCTAGCACTGCCTTCTAGCACTGCCTTTTTGTGCATAGCCATCTAAATCATTCCACAGAGAAATTGAGCAAAAATGTATACAGAACTAAAAATCTACAATTTCCTGACAGTAAGAACTGTTGCTTAGCTGTCCTTGAGGTGAACCTAGCCTCTCTGACTTGCCAATCCAGAGGTTAAAAAGGAACATGGTGAGAGCAGCCAATGTAGTTTGTGAGACTTGCCAGCATAGCATTGCCACCGGGTTAGGCTTTCTTAGTCCCACGCTGCCACTCAGCCTCCTTTCACTGCCTGCTTTCTTCCCACAACTGTCTTTACTTCTGTTGGTCTGCCGCTCCTGTTCCTAGCATCACCACAGCAACAGTGTTCCTTCAGCATTCCAGAAGCCAACTGCCTCATCAGGACGGCAGATGAAGGGATGGGCTTATTGCAGCCACTTTATGGGAAAACTGGTAACTCATTAGACTGCGCCCTGACCCTCTTAGGAAAACTAGTTGCTGTCTAGAGCCTCCAAAGTATCAGATAGAAAGCATTTTCTTGCCAGTGCCAGTAGTTCTGTTTGTAGACAAGGCACCCAATGACAGAAGATCTAAACACCACTGTGTTTGACAAGCTAGTTTGCTTTCTTCTTCTTCTGTCTATTCAAAAATGGCCAGCTGGTAGCCTGCTAAGCCACATACAGCCATCAAGAGGATTTTAACAGGCCTCTAACAGTCCTCCTAAATTCTAAGCAAGACATAGGATACTGTCTTTTACTAAGTTAGGCTATGGGTCCATCTAGCACACCATTACTTAAATTGAATGGCGGCAGCAATCCAGGGTTCAGACAGAGGGCATTCTCACCACCACCTGGAGATGCCGTGGATTCAATCGAGGACATTCTGCAATGCAAAGGTCTATTACTGAAGGGGGGAGGGGAGCAAAAAGCTCACGCACAACTTCACTTTTCAGAAAAAGATAAATGTTTGCAAGGCAGATGCTCCACTTTTCAATGTCCCTTTTGGATTTTGTACATCACGTGCAAATGTATATAAAATGCGGAACACTGGAAGGTGCTAGATGATGCCAGCTTCTTACTACGGAGCACAGAACTGCTGTTAAGTATGGTAAGTTGTTTCATGCAACAAAATACACTTTTAGACACTTGGTGACTCTCTGAAGATTACAGTGGCCCTTCAAGGATACAGAAATTAGAAACGCCTGATCTATATACCCAGCAACTTGAAAATTATACAGTGGTACCTTGGGTTACAGACGCTTCAGGTTACAAACGCTTCAGGTTACAGACTCCGCTAACCCAGAAATAGTACCTCATGTTCTTTGCTTCAGGATGAGAACAGAAATCGCACAGCGGCGGCACTGCTGCAGCGGGAGGCCCCATTAGCTAAAGTGGTACCTCAGGTTAAGAACTGTTTCAGGTTAAGAACAGACCTCCAGAACGAATTAAGTTCTTAACCTGAGGTACCACTGTATTTAAAAGGAGAGCAGTTTCTAGAGACCAGGAATTAATGCTCTGTCAAATGTTCTTAATACACAGAGGTATTAACACTTCCTGAAACATCTGGATTAGAGACAGGACAGACAGAGAGCATTTGTCTAGCTAAATTGTGGTGTTTCTTATACTATTATATGCAAAGGTCAATCCCAAAGAGCTGAGATTGCTTGTGAACTTGACTCTGAAACTCCTGGCTGTCAAACCTTAACACTGCTTTCACACTAGATTTCTTCCATCCTCTGGGGGTGAGGGGGAAAAATCAGTATGATAACGGTGCCACAATAAGTGTTCCTTTTGTTTGGCTGCACCTGGCTAATGTCTGACAGGAGAAGGAAGGGAATGGCTAAGCGATGTTATCATATAAAAGCCAAAGGCCAGATAAGCCCAGCACTTACAAACACTTCACCAAGCCAGCCCTGCAGATAATCAATTACCTTACATGTAGGGTAGCGATATATGTGGTCCTCTCCAAGCACCAACTTATCAATGTACCCTGCTGCACCGCCAGTACAGTTGGGGTATTTTCCATCATCTCCTATCCCCCCAGGGCCCAGGTAACCTCTGCAGAGAGAACACACAATATTAATTGCAGCTGTCAGTTTTCCAAGCACCGGAACTGATTTTATTTTTCGTCACAAGACCAGTCTGATATGACAAGAATTTGAAAACGAATTAGTGAGCTTATTTTCAGCTCCTGAATAGCATTTACTACACATGCACCATTAAGTGTAATGATCCTTTTGATCTCTGAAAGCCAAAAAGCTCTGTTAATTCTGGCAATCACGGTTTTTGTTGCCTCTCTGATCTTCCCCCAGAATGAGATATAATTTTTAAAATGCATTAGAATACGGCAATCTGAAAACATGCTTCCCTAATTGAGATGTACCATCTGCCGCAAAATATCTACAAAACACATCTCTACTAATTCAAATGTTTGATGTGCCTTTGCTTTTTCCATCTCTGAAAACAGTGGAGGATGGTATCATGATTAGAATATAAAGCCGGTTCTATTGTGTCAATATTTACTGTGCGGATTCATCCCCAACAAAGCTGCATTTTCCCACAAAACAAAATTTTAGCTTTTACTCACTGAAAGTATATACACTCAGAATGTAACCCTCAAATTTCAAATATTGCTTTCCAAGCAGAAAACAGGTATTGTTTACCTGTTGGCAGGGCTGCAACTGCACAATATAGCTGTGGGTGGCAATAGAGGTATAATAGCATTTTTAAAGACAAAACTAAAATCCACATGGTAGTGAGCAGGCATTTGTGTTCATCTCTGGGTTTGCCATATTTTGAAGAGCAAAAAAGAGGAGACTTTGCCAACTTCTACTTTTAACTATGGATCGTGATGACGACTCTGCCCATGATAAAGAGGATGTGTCCTGGAAGCAGAGGACATATGGCAACCCTAATGTGAACCCATCCTCTAGCTGGTTATTATGCAAGAAATGTTTAAGAAAAATGTGTTGCTGGGCATTGGGGAAGCCTAGTCTGCTGCTTGTAACACTCTTAAAATGGAACATGGGAGATTTTATGCTCACTTAACTAAATTAGATCCTGCCTGTGGCAAAACGATCTTGGGTTGCAGTAAGGAATACTAGAGCAAAGAGGCAATGGTTACTCACTCTTAGCAAACTGCAAACCAGCAGTTACTCAAATCTGTCTCCAGCATTTCTTGGAAAATGCAGAACCTTGCCTTGTGAGGCACACAGTAGCCTTAGCAAAAATTGTAGTTCGTATGTTTGCAAATTCTGCATGTTGTGTCTAAACTGCAGGTGCATTTCATAAAGTCATCAGTAGGATGAGCCACTCCTCAAGGCTCGCTCCAAAAAACCGCTAATGTGGTTCACCAACGCTTGTGAGAATGAACACCCTCCCTGGAATCCTACAAACTTAACAAATCAACTTAATTCCATTTGCCTATGACTGGCGCTATAGAAAACTTAATCTGAAAACATGGAGCTAGTTTTTCACACATCTCCCCAGCTGCAGTTTCTGCACAGCTTCTAAGAGTGTGTAGAATGCATATTCCATAACTCACTTTATGCTAAGCTGATTCCACGAATACAACTGCACATATGTGCATGAAATTGGTACCAGATTGTCAGTGCTTAGAGTGGAAAACATAGGAGTTCTGGGTATTGAAAATTCATTCAGCTAGGCTTCTCCTAATTTAACTTTTTAAAAGGTGGCAGGAACACCATTTCAACAAATGATACAAAATGAAGAATGGGTCAGGATCATAGCCTTAAATGAAGAATGGGTCACAGCCAACGTGGCCATGTTAAACCTGGCTTCCACCTTTGTGCATGAAAGCATGCATTTCTTCTTAAATAGTTCAGGGTTGTGGTCCAATGTTCATTGGGAAAAAGAGTGTTTTATTCCTCGAGAAGTTGATGTGTGTGATTTATGGCCGCATATTAGCTTCCACGGTGTGAAAGAGATTAAAGAATCACACTCTGTCATGAGAAATCTGAAATGGAGGAACAAGCTGCATCCATCTTTTTACACTTTCAAGAACACTTCTTTCTATCTATTGTATTTCTGTGGCATATCATTTCCTCCCAATCAACTGAAATCAAGGTGTCACAAGTCCCTGATATTGCACTTCGGGTGCATCAGAAGAACCTGAACGCTAACTTCCTGTTGCAAGCAATTTTGCAAAAATTCTCTCTACCATTAATAGACAACCAATCACCACCGGCTTTAAATCAATTCTGCAGCAGAAGTATGGTGTGTACAATGAAATGGATAAACAAATAACTATTGACTTTCTCTGTATCTCATATTAAAAATCTTTGCTAACTTGCAGGTGCAAGCAGTAGAGAAACTCTACAAGGTTTACCCAGTTGAAGAAGAAAAGTTTCGAAGAATCTAATGTGCTTCAAAATACTTCATTTTCTAATGGGGTAACTAATGGGGTTGAGTAGAGAAAAATGAACTTTATTATTCCATTGACTTGTGTGGTACTAAGAAATAGGGAAACAACCCAAAGTTCCTTCAACCTCCCCTTAGTGCAAGACTTGTAAGATTCCGGTGCAAAATCTAGGTTACTGTCATAGTACCAGTAATGGGGTAGGGGACGTTATTGTTTCCCATAAATAACTCTTCCTACACAGTTTTTTTCTCTCTCTTCACATGCCACGAAAGAGAAGATTGGCTTCTTTTTCACTTCTGTTGTTTTAAGATAACAGCAACATTTATCTGCAAGGGGAAAAAATTATTCTGCTTCGTTTTAAGTAACGGGAGGGGGAATTGTTAAGAGGTAGCAATATAGCTTTGCCTTATTCACTAAGACATGCAAATGATCCCATACTAAAACACAAACTGATACATCTATTTCACACAGCTCTTCTGCAATCCCTTGCATGCACTTCAAGCTGTGTCTGCTGATGGCTAGATCATTATTTTAAATGATAAAACAGCAGGACACATAGCATATGACAGCCTTGCCTTGCCAGTGCCTTTCTGAAGGATGCATGTCCTGGGGTACATGAAAGAGCTTGAGAAACACAGCCAAAAACACCCGACAGCGTATATTGCTAGGTATGTATCAGTCACAGCAAGCCAGCCCTGTTCCCTCTTCTACAATTCCCAAAGCATAGGGTTTTAAGGGGGCTAAATTCACTCATTTCCAAAATTGGGAGTTGAAATTTAACACCACCGACACTGCCCTTCAATTTTCTGTCCAAAGAAATGAGAAATGACAGCACAACCCTAAGGACAGGGAGAGGTGAGATTCTGCCTTGAATCTGGGACAGAAGAGCTCTCAAATGTTTTTTAACTGGACTTGGGGAAAGGGCTCAGTGTAGTGGGGAATACAGTGGTGCCTCGCAAGACGAAATTAATCCGTTCCACGAGTCTCTTCGTCTTGCGGTTTTTTCGTCTTGCGAAGCACGGCTATTAGCGGCTTAGCGGCTTAGCAGCTATTAACGGCTTAGCGGCTTAGTGACTATTAACGGCTTAGCGGCTTTAAGAAAAAGGAAACAAACTCGCAAGAACTCGCAAGACGTTTCGTCTTGCGAAGCAAGCCCATAGGGAAATTCGTCTTGCGGAACGACTCAAAAAACGGAAAACCCTTTCGTCTAGTGAGTTTTTCGTCTTGCGAGGCATTCGTCTTGCGGGGCACCACTGTAATACACTTGGGCATTAAAAATGACTGCCTGGCAGGTGTCACTTAGAATGGGAGTGGAGGGTTCTTTAGGGTCCAATTATTTCCAACACAGATTGTAAATGGAAGCAAGTCTAATGCATAGGTATGTTTCTACCAGGTCTGGCTGTCTGAACTCAAGTAGATATTGACTGAACAATCAAACTGGAAAGCAAATGGGCTTGGAAAGAGGAACATGGATAGTCAGGGGCGGACACTCAGGGAGCAGGTTGCACTGAATCTGAGCAGCCCACTCAGAATTAAAAGCTTTTGAGCACCAGTTGCAACTCCATCGGCCCCCTTCTGTCACCTGACCAGTGGTCAGGGCTTGCTAACCAGGTGATATTTTCTCAATTGGAGATAATAACTGGAATATATTTCCTTAACGGAAAACCTACCTGACAAGTGGTGTTTGTGTGTGGCAGAAAATACAGCAGTTGCCATTTAAACTGAGACAGACGGAAAGATGGGAGTTTTTTGGCTGGCATTGGCAGAAGTAGGATGCAAATGTCACACTTTGGGATTCAGGATTGGCATTTGCTGCCCGCTCTCTGAATCTGCTTGTTTTCAATAAGCTATAATTGTGTGCTTGCAAATTAACAGATGTTACAAAGATGCTATGAGCCTCCAGTGCTTTCTCTCTCACTGCAAAGAAAAAGATCCTGTTGCGGGGGGGGGGGAGTACACAGAGAATATTCTTTCACTTGGAAAATGGGTAAAACTATTGGCCTCTTTTTGGAGTTATGTACCTGTGATGGGATGATGAGCTGCTTGTGCGTGAAATCCTAGTCCCTCAGAGTTTGGTTAAGTCCGCAAACCTCCGTCTATAACGGAGCCCCTTAAGCATGGCTCCGTCAGTCGCTAGCAGAATCCGACAGTGGGCGCTTGCGGAATCTCTTCCAGCATAAAAGCTCCTTAACGGAAACGCGTCTTCTGGACTCTCGGCGCGACAGTTTCCGGCGAGGAGTGGGTGTCCCTATAGGAGGTCCTGAAACCTCCCCACTGTTTTCGCTGGAAGTGTCTCTGAGCCATCCCTCCGACCCACTTTCCCTCGGAGCCCCTTCTCTCCCCCTGCTGGTTCCCTCTTCAGCTGCTAAGTCTCTCTCAACCTCTGTGAGCCCTTCCACCTCCTGTCCTTCCGATGGCAGTTCCCTGACAGTACCCTTCATACAATAGGTTGTTTAGGAAATGACCTTTCATGATAGTGAATAAGACCTTCACAAATACACTTGTAGAATGCCCTTTTTTTCCATTATGAAAATTCTACTCTACTGTGCACTCAGACTTGCTTACCTGGGGCATCCAGGGACAGGTAGCAGGAATGTGAGGCACAGCCAAAGGGTCTCCAGGATCACCATGATTACCCACTCTGGCCAGTAGAGAACAATATCCCTTAGTGGAGCCCACCAGTAACCAAACTTCAAAGAGAAGGAAATTCACAAGATCAGAGATACGGTCAAGAAAATAAATATGGCCACTTCCAGAAGAATGTGTGTCAGAACCACTCTTTAACCCCCAAAAGTTTTCTTCCCCCACCTTCATACACATCAGTAGGAAATTGCTCTCTTAACTACATGAAAGTGAAAGCAGCAATTAGAATGTTAGCCACTTCCTGTCTCCGTCACTTGATTCACATGCAAAAAAACCCTGAAGACAATCCATCAAATCAAATCCTAGGCATACCTACGGAGGGAGGGTGAATGAGCATGCTGAGTGCTCATAAAAAGCCATAAGGTCATATTTATCAAGCAGTTGCCCAGCTACTAGGTCAGTGATTTTGCATGTGTTCAGGCTGTGTGCAATAGGCCTTCAAAAAAAGAGAGAACTTCATTCATCTCATCTCCCATGTGCTAACCAGGGGAAAGTTTGTTGTGCAGACCATAGACAATGCAATCTACTATGCTCTCAATGTGTGTCATGGACTGGCTGGATGCAAACGAGTGGTGGGAAGCACCAGCAGGAGAACCCCCAGAGGAACTCCCAGAGGATGAAGGCTCAGAGCCAGGGCAGTGATAGGGGGCATGAGGGTGAGCGGTCAGAGGGAGAAGAGGGAGTAGACCGGGAGGAGGAGGTGTTGGAAGATGAAGAGGCAATAGGGTTGAGTGAGCAGGAAGAGGCTGTGGCAGAGAGCAGCTCAGAAGCAGAGTGGAGGCAGGCTGCTGAAGAAGCCATAGGGTCTCCCTCTCCTGCTGTGACCAGCTCCCTTGCCCGCTGGTCTCCCAGAACACAGAGAGGAATGAAGAGGGCAAAGCAATGAGAGACAATACAAAGGTACCTTAGGCTGATAGAGAAGCAACCAGCGGAGGAGCCTTAGAGAGTGGTGGGAAATTGGGGACCTTCAGTCCTCACAACTGCCTCACAGAGGCAAGAAAGACCGATTGGGAAGAGTTGCTGGGATCACTAGGTCTGCACTGTTTTGGTTTATTTGAATAAAGAGTTGGCTTTACTGACACCAGGTGTTATATATATATATATATATATATATATATATATATATGCAGGAGAGCTGCTAGGATTACTGAAGTGTTCCCTTGATGCTCACTTTCAACGAGCCCTTTCCCCTGCTAAATGCTGAGAGATGTCTGGTCTGTGCATGAAATGGGACTGGAAGGCATCTTTTCAAACATGAATGTGCAAGAGAACAGCCATCTTCAAATGTGTGCCTTTGGTGCCAGGTTACAAAGGTGGCTCTCGTGCAAGCGTCTGATCCAAGAAGCATCAAATAAAACAGGAAGGATAAAATCTGCCCCACATTAATGCACACATCATTTTAATTTGGGGCCTGTGCCACAACACCCATTGCCATCTCTAATGCAAACATATATGTAGGCAGTTATTAAAAGACAGTTATCCAGCAGCTTGTAAAAGCTCTATTGAGTGACTGCAGCCTGTTGTGTAATTACATACTTACCTCACCAGCAAAGTATTTATCATTATTAGCTGATCATTATCACTAGGAGAAGACACTAGAGTCTGGTCTATAAATACGCATTTAAACCAAATTTAAAACAGGATTGTCCAAGTCAGAGATAAAAGGAAATGGAGGGAGGGAGGGAGGAATGAGGTCACTCAGTTCACTTGCTTGCCAATGAAGAAATATTATTTGTAACATTCCCTCTAATTTATGTCTTGATCTTCTCAGACTGGAAGCATCCCCTTTTTTCAGAGGGTGAAGACAGAAACAAAACACTCATCACAAATGGCCCTGCATCCCCAGTGCAATTCCAGATTTCTGATTTGCCTTACATACACATAAGCACAATACCAGAAAGTCAAATACTGGTTTAACTCCTCCCCTCAGTCTCCGGGCAAGCTATCCATTTTAAATATATATATTTAAAATCGAATGCATGTCATATGTTCATTAGTCACCTTTCTTGAAAGGGATTTGCATAAACAGCTATTGGATTGGGCTGTGTGAGTTGGTGATGGAGAAGGTGCTAGCCAATACATTCCTTCCATTTTCTCCTAGTAATTCTTCACACTGAACTGCATTGAAAATATGCAGAGCTCATCCCGGAAAAGAAAATGTCTGTTTCTACTGAACATAGTGAGGGTGCTTTCAAAGTGGCCTCACTTGTCTCAACATGTTACTTCTGTCTTCAACCTGTGAAGCCCAAGCATGTACACAAGAAAACCTTGACAGAAGGTGCATGTAATAAAATCTCTATGTGTTTTTCCTACGGAAAACAGCTTCAGTAGGGTGGGTGGGTGGGTGACATATACAAGAGAACAAGCCAAATAATAATAATAATAATAATAATAATAATAATTGCCACTACTATGATCATGGTATTTAACAAAATCAAGCTGCATAAAGGAATATCTAAGTTATGTAAAGGGTGGGTTGCCTTTATCATCTGTAAATGTTGACCTCAGCAGCTTTATCTTTTTGCTTGTATAAGGAAGATCAAATAAAATTGCATGTGAGTTCTTCATTATTAACAACAGGGGGGAAAGATATTCAGTACAGTCATATAGTAAATAATACCTAGTTATCTAAATTGTAAAACTTGTGTGGAGATTCAGTTTGTGAAACCTTTGAGCATAATATACCTCACTACCAAGAGGAGAGTAAGCAAGGGCATTGGTTACAGTGTAGCCAAGGTAAAGGGACAATCGAGATTATTTCTGACTGAAATTTAGTGGTGCCAGAGAGTGAGATTATAGGTAAGAAAGTCAGCAGTCCTGGAAACTGGTAAAATATAAGACATCAATAATATGAGGCTAGCTGGATGCCACACACATTGCTAGGTACTCAAAAGTAAGCAAGGGTATGTTTTTCCAAGCTCAGTCCCATTGCATCTCACCTGATATCTGTCAAGGTCTTTTAAGCAAAAGAAGGTCTCTATCAAAGCCAAAATGAAGTAAGTAAATCCAAGACGCTGCAGAACACCTGGAATCCTTGCCCAGCTCCATGACACTGTAGGTACAAAGCTGAATGTTACATATAAGACCTAATTTGAGGGGGAAATTCCAGTACATGATTTGCAATCATGCATGTTACATATTTTTCTATTTGGCCCAAAATTACTGAGTAATCAGATGCATCAAGGATTTGTTTCCAATACCAAGAAACTTATGGGCTAAGGCTTGGAGTCAAGTGATTGTGTGCATTCAGGTCCCAGAAGCCTCTTCAGGCATAGTAAGGAATACATGGGTGCAAGAATAGCCTTTGCAGTTGACAGGCAGTATGAGACTTCTAGATCAGTATGCGCCATCCTGGTGCCCTCTCAGATGTTTTGGACTACAACTCGCATCAGTCCCAGCCAGCACAGTCATAGAATCATAGAACTGTGGGGTTGGACAGGACAGCGAGGGTCATCTAGTCCAACCCCCTGCAATGCAGGAATCTTTTGTGCAACGTGGGTTCGAACCCATGACCCTGATATTAAGAGTCTCATGCTCCACCAACTGAGCTATCGTGTTGACTGAGGCTAGTGGGAGTGGCATTTTAAAATTTCCGGAGGGCACTAGGATGGTGAAGGCTATTCTAGATTCACCATAGATCCTAGGAGCTGACCTTTTGCCTTCGATTGGCCAACTCTTTGAAGTAGCACTTCAGAGCCTATTGCACATCAGGCTTCAACTCAACTCCCCAGTGTCACTTCCAGCCAAGAGCAGCAGAACCCCTGGATTGCAAAAAACCAAACGTTTCAGGTCTGGAATTGGGTATAGCTGTCCACATCAACAGCCTCACTCTGACAATGCGCTCAATGAACTACAGAACATTTGGAGAAAGTTCCTCTATGCTACCTTCATTGCGCCCTGTGCGCATCAATGTCTTTACCTCCCTGTCAGCCCACCACTTCCGAGAGATGAAAGTTAGCTAGTCTCCTTAGAGGTGCCCAGACATTTTGACAATTTCTGACAGTTTCAGATATGTCTCAACTTTCTCCCAATCAAGCTGTCTGTTCTCTATTCTAAAATACTGTCCTTTCCACAAAGCCACCCAGCAACTTAAAGTGCTTACATTTACAATTGTGAATCTGAGGATTAATCAGCAGGTTTCATACTTTTAAAGCTCTGGGCTCCATCCAGCTTGTGCTGTCCACTTAAAGGGGAAGTATTCCCATCAGTCCATTACTGCCATTTATTCTTAATGTACTGCTCTTTTGTTGTGCAAGCACAAAGGGGACAAAGACAGAAGAGGAGGCTGCTGAAGAGTGCTTGGCTTTCTCATTTGCTCTCATGGAGGCGGAACTTGGCCATTCCGAATAAAAGGACAATGAACTAAAGTCAAATTTTATGGGAATGTCATTTGTCTAAGGCAATCATTTTGTTTTATGCTCTCCATTTCAAGCTGCAGGATATTTTGGAGTAGGGGGCAGAATTTTACAGTCCATTTTCCTTGTGGTGAGTAAGCACTGGAGACTTATCTGATTATTTATATCAGGGGTTGCCAATGTGGTCTCTTCCGTGTGTTGCTGGACTGCGGCACCCATCATCACTCAACGCTAGCCATGCTGGCTGGAGATGATGGCAACTCTAGTCTAACAACTTCTGGAGGGCTTTACATTGGCTGCCCCCAATGGGGCTGGAAAAAAATCTCTGAGCCTGAAACTCTGGAGAGATACTGCCACTCAGGATAGACCATATTGGGACTGACAGACCAATAGGCTAGCTCACTATAAGATACTAGCAAGTCTTGGCATTCTGTAAATTTAGCGAAATATTGCTAGCAGCTCCTCCTAGCCCTGCAGCTAAGCCTTACTCAGTTGTGAAAAGATAACAGAGTCCCCACAGTCCTGGATGTAGCTTGGCTTGCTAGTGCTGGAATGAGGAGATTTATAATTTTGACCTTTTGATATGAAGATGTCCCTCCTTCAAAGGCTACTAACTATGACACGACTATTGATGACTCCTAGCCACAGTGACTATGCTTTGCTGCCACAGTTGGAGGTAGCAAAGTTGCTGGAAACCACAGAAGAGGAGAGGGCTCTTGTGCTCCCACCCTGCTTGCTGGTTTCCCACAGCCTTCTAGTTGGCCACTGTGAGAACAGGATGCTGGACCAAATGGGCCATCGGCCTGATCCTGCAAGTTTTTCTCGTGTTCTTATGTTCATGCAATGCCAGCTAGGTTGCAGACATACCATTCTTTTTCTAACTTATATATATATATATATATATATATATATATATATATATATATAAACTGCTGTGTTGCTAAATATATAATCCTGTCTTGCCTTTCAAACACACAAATGTTGGCATGAATGGGGGTGGGCAACCAAAGACCCTTTGACTAATGGGATGAGTGTAAAAAATACTAGAATTGAAACGTTGCTGAGAAAGTCCATTCTGATTCAGATAAATGGAAAAGTGTGGTATACTATTACCCGTTTTCCATCACATTACGAAAAAATGTTAGATTGTACTGGGGTGTGATTGGGTTAGTATTAGGTTTTTTGATCATATGATACATGGTAGAAACGCTTCATATTACTCTTGGGAAACTACAAAGCCAGCTGGCAGATACTGAAAACTCAAGTCACAAATTCGCAACATATCATCTAGCTCATTTTCAATCACATTTAGTTATTTGTTAAATTATTAAATTATTAAATTATTGTATTTTCACAACCCTGAAAGAGTCAGGTATGATAAAATTTGCATCATGCCAATCAGCCAGGCATAGACTAAGGTACTGGTATTAAATATAATCTTTTATTACATTTCCTCTCTTCATTCCATATTTGAATATGAGACACAATCAGCCATATGAATTGGTTCAATTATTTCCAAGATTTCTTTTGGAGTCTTGGTACAAAACACATCTGAGCACAAAAGCCAATGAAGAAGGGAGGTAGTGGATCAGGAAGATAATAAAATATAATCTGGAGGCTTAAAATTTATAATTCTAGACCTGTAGGGCTCAGACGCAAAGCTTTCCAAAAGAGAAACTTCCTACACTTAAGATTATTTTCCTGTTGCTCACGCTTAAAATTCTGAATTTGGCTCAGGTGAAGGCCTCTCCCCAAATTATGCTACGGCAGGGGTAGCTGCCTTGTTGTCTAGCATAAATAGCAATATAAATAAATAAATATAATAAAGCTTATCCTACAAATTCTTAACTGTTAAATGTTTTTCCTTTACTAATGTTTTCGCTGCTTTCAAATTCTTTTAAGTACTATACCATATCCTCCAACATTCCTCAGATGAAAATAGGGACATTTCTCACTCCAACTGGCCTTCATCAAACCGCCCGCCCCTCAATTTTTTGGTCTTTGTCCCCCACAGAGCCTTTTCTATCAGAAAAAGGGGCAAGATTAGATGCAGATGCACAAAGCTTTTTTAAAATAATTTTTAAAAAATCAAGACTCCTTGCGCTGCGCTCCATTTCCTCTTTCTTCCCACCTGGGGCAGCCCTGCCCTCTGCCTGCACCTCACAGCCAACGTATCATGCGGAGCTGGGCCTCGGTTGCAGCAGCCTTTTCTCCTTGCCTACTCCCCAGCAATTGCTGCAAACTGCCCAAGGGAGAAGGCTAGTTAGTGGTGGCCACAGAGAGGCAATGGGATACGCCCATCAGACGCCACTGCCATCACCACCGTTTCTTGGGACAAGGGCCAGCTCATCCTCTTCCTCGACCTCAGAAGTAGCAGCAGGGGCAGGGGAAATAGGGACATTCCAGGATCAAATCAGAAGCCAGGCTTTCATGATTCCAGGACTGTGCCTGAACAATCGGGGCACCTGGAGAATATGCTATACAATCCATTATCCCTTTGAAGTAAGTCACTATGACATGAATTTTACAGGTAAGGAACTGAGATGTGGATACATCAAACCCTAGGCCCTATTCAGATGGAATAAGGCCTAGGGTCTGATGGAGGCAATTCCACACCCTGTTTCTGTGGCAACAAGGATCATAAGGCAAGGTATTCATCCAAACACCCTTTTAAATGCTGTCTCAAACCCATTAGTGTCCTCTGCTAAAACTGCAAGCAGACAAAACTTTCCCAGGCCCAAGTATCTTTCTCAAACACTGAATTCATTGTTAGCTGAATTCTTTTTAACATTGGGACCTGCTAGTATACCCAAATACTTTTACATTTCAAAAATGCAGTCCATTTATACTCTATTTAAGGTGATGTTCAACGTTGTTTGTTCTGCCAGAAATTATTCACGTCCCTTTCCTAATCTTATTCACTAGACTAAAGCTTCTTTTAGGTTTAGGACTGTCAGCTGTTGATAATCTTATTGAGGTAGGGTGCTTTTTAGAGCAATGGGAGTGACTTTCTTTATAGTCTTCTGCACACCTTTGGGAAACATAGTCCTCTAAACACAGTAGTACTTCTAAGCAAACAGGCCTGAGATTGCTCTGTAAATCCTGTAAAAGGAATGCAAGGATGATGATGATGATGATGAAGCAGCAGGAGGAGGAGTGTTAGCATTGCTATGGATGAAATGTCTATGCTAGAAGCTGAAGGAAAACATATTTAATTGAATATTTTGAGTTGGATTGGGGGTTTTAAGACAACCATTGTCTCTTATATCCTGCCCTGCTATAGCACAGAGGCGCACTCCTCCCAAGACAGATGGATGCCGACACTCTGAAGAAAACCTATCTGAATACCACCCATCCACAGTGCTGTCCTCTACAGAGGAAACCGTACATCTATCCTGATTCCAGCTTCAGAATCCTGCAAATACAGAACTTTATTAAGGCTTCCATTATTAAGCTCTTCCTTTAAAGAAAGCAGAAACTCGTGGTTAGGAAGAAATATGCGTGACCCCAACTGCACTGCACTGTGGATTTAAAAGGGCAACTGTCAAGAACATAATGCATTTCGGGGGTGGAGATCGGGATTTGAAAGCCGACACCACAAAGGCTCCCTAAGTACTCAGCACTTGGAACTGGCTATCCTGCAGTACTGAAGTGCAGAGATTTGCAAAAAAAAATTAAAATAAAAAAGTCACAAACATATCTAATCTAAGTGCCAAGTTCTTAGTTCCTTCTCATTTCTCTCCCTTCCCCTGGGCTGCATAAAAAGAGCTGTCTTTGGTTTCTGCTGGAAAATGGATGCTGCATGTAACAGCCAAGAGAGAGAGAGAGGGAGGAGAGAGCATTCTGATAAATAAATGATCCACAGAGGGTGTGCCACCATGACTGTTGCTGCCTTTCCCAAATACTTCCAGCGCTTACAGGATTTGCCATTGGGGGCAGCAGAAATGAGACACCTCCGGTCTGGTAATTGTTGTTTCTAAAAGTCTCCAGATCAGATTATTGTCACTAAAAGTACCTCTCTGTTTTGCCAAACTAAATTAGCAAGCCATTTTTGCTGAAAGCAGAAAAGTGTTAACAGTTGACATGCCCAGCACCAGCTGCTGGGACTTTAATAGGCAATAACTAGATATGTTCTGCTGGTGAATGCAAAGTTGTAATTTGCTGTTGCAGACTGTTGTGTATTTAGCAAAACAAGCAAAGAAAACTATGGCAACTATTGCTCAAAAGGCCCAAAAAATAAAAATAAATCACCAGGGACTCCTTTTTAGAAAGCATAGTAGGGTCCCCCATTCAATAAATGGTTTTAACCATTCATTATTTTTAAAGCCTAGATCTTCTATCTGCAGATGGAGATGATAATGCACCATTGGGGAAAATAATAGTCCTATTCATGAATTCAAAAGGCCACATGGAGGCTCTTCACTTTCCCCTTCTGAGCAGGACGATCTGAAGTGGGTTGCAAACATGTTACACGTCTCCTTGCTATCAGGAACTCGGTCATATGTGCTCATGAGGCCCCAGAGACCTTCTCTCTAAACACAAGAAGATTGGGGAGGGAGCAGGCATCACAGAATTGTAGAGGTCATTTAGTCCATACACCCCCCCCCGAAATGCAGTAATCTCAACTAAATCATCCATGACCATCCAACCTCTGCTTAAAAACCTCCAATGAAACAGAGTCTCCAAAACTTCCTGAGGGAGTCCGTTCCACTGTAAAACATCACATTCTGTCAGAAAGGTCTTCCTGGTGTTTAGTTGGAATCTTCTTTCTTGTAACTTGAAGCCATTGGTTCGGGTCCCACCCTCCGGAGCAGCAGAAATCAAGCATGTACCATCCTCCATGTATCAGTCCTTCAGATATTTGAAGATGGATATCGCCTCTCAGTCTCCTCTTTAAACATACCCAGTTCCCTCAACCATTCCTTATAAGGTTTGGTTTCCAGACTCTTATCATCTTGGTCGCTCTCGTCTGCACGTGTTGCAGCTTGTCAATATCCTTCTTAAATTGCAGCAACCAGAACTGGACAGAGTATCCCAGAACTGCACAGAGACACTGGGGGCAGGGCCAGCAATGCCCCACAGCAAAAAAAAGGGGGGGAGCAAGGGTCACTTGGCCATAGAGATTTAAAGCACAGGCCATGCCTGGAAAGCACAGAGGAAAGATAAGTGTGGATATTGTACGTGATTGTATGATAAAAACACTAATGACCGAAAGGCAATTATACTTACATGGACCATCTCTTGGTCCGTAGTTAAGGAAGCAGAGTCCCATCAAGAGTAAGATCACAGTCCTCCAGGTCAATTTACGCAAGAGCTGGATACGGCTCACTCCTCTTTTCATCATCGCATGGAAAGCCAGTGCTACTGATGTGCCAATGATGAAAACAAACCTATAAACACCAAGGATTTGTCAAAAACCCAACTCAAACCATACATTCATTGATTTTCCTTTCAATTCAAATCTATCGGACTCCATTCACCTAAGTAAAATCTCCATTGACAGGGAAGGTAAGGATGAATGGGCATTTGTTTCAGGATATCTTTTCATCTCACACTTCCAAAATGGGTGTTCCAGAAGTAAATAAAATTATATTCTAGAAAAGAAATGACCATTCCTAGTAGATGAGACAAACTACAACTCAGATTTAAAAGCAGCTTGCCTTGTTGGCTAAAAGGGCTGTGGTAGAGGAAATGGCCCTTGTCCTTGTGGAAATGCCCTTAGATTATCTCCTAGAGCTTGGGAGCTATAGTAACATGCCAGCAGCCTCCTGCTCTTTATGCAAGAGAAAGTCAGTATTAGGGCAAATGATTCAGTGAAAGAACTGTTCCAACTAGTCTTCCTTGGGTATATCCATTTCAGCAACCAGTAACCCAACATTCATCAGTTGGAGAGTCATTCTTTTAAATTTACTTTTAATATCAAGAATGGCAAAGGGCCAAATCAGAGATGATGGCAGAAGACTAGGTCTAAAGGGACAGGTTTTGGTGCATGGTAAAAGTTTTCTTGTAAAATAGTTATAAAACCAATACAAGTTTGCACATACAAAGAACAAAGGTTGCATTTTGTTCTAATGAATGGTAACTTTGCCATATTGATTTATGCTAGTTTTGTGTTTATTTTTACATTGTTGGTTACGTACTATTGTTTTTTATTGCTTTTAAATTTATTTTGCTTGCATTTTTTATTTTATTACTGACTTTTGTAAACTGCCCAGAGGACAGAGGAAATGTTGTAAATAATCTATAAATTGATTTACATCTAATCAATTAATTCAGTCAAAACACAGATTAATCAACTAAAAGTTCTTTTTTAAATAGTTGGCAGTTTAATAGGCATAAAATTCCTAATAAACCAGCAGGTAGAATTCAGTACTACAAGATGTGGAGATAAATACCGGCTTACATAGCTTTAAAAGTTGATTAGACAAATTATTGGAGAATTTATTTGAGTTTAAACATATCCTCAATATAGAAGTTGAAACATGGTTGAAAGCATAATTAAACACACTATTAAATTAAATACACCATTACTTTGAAGTGAACATGAAATGGAAATAATTAATGAAGTAATTGGTAAATTGGTAACTATTTTCAATATGATGAAAAAGGGAAGTCAGAGAGGGAATAGGATTGTATATAATTTGGGGTGCAAGGGATTTGGGGTGTTAAGAGAACATTTTAACAAATACGGCAACATTATCTAAACAAAACTAAAGACACAGTTCAACTGAAAGGGGAAATAAAGAGCAAGAAGATGAACATAAGCAAAATGGCTCAAAGAGGATATATTTTTTTAAAATGTGACTAACAACTTTGCCTTATAAAATAAGCGTTCAGAACAATCAGCTATTGCTTGAACAGCATGAAAACCTGAGACGGATGTAAAGATGCTAATTCAGGATGTGGAGAGGAAAACAGTCTTCAGGGAAAGGACATTTTTTTAAAAAAATGCCAAATGTGCAAATCTGTCATTCTTTGCCTTAATGGGCACTTATAAATGTGCAACTTGCCAAAGATCTTCCTCCACAATATGATTGTGGTTATAAAACGAACAGCATGGTCAATAACATGATCTAATCTGATTGAAGGGGCCAGTAAGAAAATTATTACCCACTTTACAACCCATTAACATCAACCTTACATTACAGGAATGCACACGATAGATTTAAAACTTGCTTACTTAAAGCAAGGGGGTCTAAATAAACTCCATTACATTTGTTGGGGTTTGGTTGTTGTTTTTTATTGCTGAAGCAAAAATGAATACCCCCCTGGTGACTGGACCAAAATGGGGAAGGGGATATGCTGCTGATAGGATGCTTGCTGAGTTAGGGTATTTTGACAGTCATATATAGATGTTGGAGAGAATGACTGTTTAAATAGCTTTTGCCTTGACAAACTGATACAGATGGGGAAAATATGGCACAGAGGAAGCTCAAATATCGCAAATGTAGTTACTAGGATTTAGGACACAGAGACTCTGACTTGGAACAGAATGCATCGCTTGGGTTTTTTAATTGCATCTGTGTTGCCGAGAAAGCTCTATATGCACCCATCTTGGAACAAAGACTAACATTATATGTTATTATTAATCACAGAAGTATTAAGAATTTGCCCATCATATATCACTGGCTGTAATAGAAAGCAAAATTATGTAAGGTTACATTGACCTTTAACCTAAGAAACATGACCAAGATACCTTCATTCTATTCAGCATTAAGTTTGAATGCTGATTTGAACAGGAAAAAATAGTTTGGAAAAGGAAATTTCATGTTAGAAAAAGGCTACTAGTCTGAGTGGGTTATTGATCAAGAAAATGGCTGTTATGAGGAAGTTAAGGGATTCTGTTCCATCACTTGTCAGGCCTATGCAGATTATAAATGTCAAATTATAGTTTTGCCAATACAGTAAGTCCATAATTTATGCACATTTAAGTTGTGAGCCTTCAGTTTTACTTGTGTGGCAATATTATTATTATTTTAAGAAGTGGAAAGAGGGCAGGGTTCCAGGAAAAATGACTGGCAATCCCTCCTGTCACTGAACCCAATGGGCTTTGATTGCACGTGGTTTTGGCTTTAGGTGCGATCCCTGGATCATACTGCGTAAATTATGGGCTTACTGTTCAGTTCAGTCCGAAGTGTGAGACTAAAGCAAATAGCAAAGCGAAATCCCTCAAGGTGACCAGGAAGGTAAAAAAGTTGGCCTTTTCACATAACCTGCTATTCATTTAAATCCATTCATATATTTAACTACAAGGCATTAAGGTTAAGATAGCCAAGTGATATCCATGCATATGTGAACAAGTTCAAAGAATTTTTCAGAGCAGAAAGAAATGATATTGCTGAGCAGTTTTTGATAGCTTACCAGGGCATGACCAGATCTGCAATTGTCAGTCCTATGATGAAAACACAACAATGATTTTAAAATGCTGATTGTTTAACAATACAGTTTACCAATTCATGTGGTAGATAAGAACAACAAAATGGATCTGATGTCTGACACAGCATCTTGCTACTCCTCATGGCCATATGAATACATCTGGAAGCATACTAGAATTGTTTGCAAATACTACAGGATTTGTAAGTTTACACATCCTCCAATCATTATGACTGCCTCCTGCTACCACAATAATCCTTGCAAAAATATTCTGAAGAAGAAGAGTTTGGATTTGATATCCCGCTTTATCACTACCCGAAGGAGTCTCAAAGCGGCTAACATTCTCCTTTCCCTTCCTCCCCCACAACAAACACGCTGTGAGGTGAGTGGGGCTGAGAGACTTCAGAGAAGCGTGACTGGCCCAAGGTCACCCAGCAGCTGCATGAGGAGGAGCAGGGAATTGAACCCAGTTCACCAGATTACGAGTCCACTGCTCTTAACCACTACACCACACTGGCTCTCTGACTCTTATACAAATTAGTTTTGGTTTCTGAATAAGGCAAATAGGCCACACATTTTATGCAGAGTAAGTTTCTTTACTTCTTTCATTTGTTCTGAGTTCCAAATTTGAATTTTCTTACTTCAAAGGGCAAGGCTATTTTTCACAGCAGAGTGTTGCTGAGTTGGCTCGTATAACCCAGATTCAGATATGGCAAAGCACTGAAAACCAAGATCAATGCCCAGATAAAAGCAGCATAATTTTCTTGCTGGATCACACCCCAATCATGGCTAGCCCTGCCATCTGCCATGATGAAGACCTGTTTCAAGAGTCACCATGAGGGGGTGGACAGATAGAGACATAAGATTAAATGGTACAGAAATTGGTTGTTGTTTTTAAAGGTCTCCAATTCAGGTAGCAAAAGGTTTGGGCTTTCACTTACCAGAGCTCATCTACTCCATTATTTTATTTAGTACTTTTGACTCAACATTTTGTTTCTAATAGAATTGTAGAGTTGGAAGGGACCCCAAGGGCCATCTTGTCCACCCCCCTGCAATGCAGAAATCTCAGCTAAAGAATCCATGACAGATAGCCATCCAACCTCTGCTTAAAAACCTCCAAGGAAGGAGAGTCCACAACCTGCTGAGGGAGACCATTCCACTAGTAGATGTGAGTCAGAACCTCACAATCAGAGGACAAAGGTGATTCCCACCCTTTTATTGTTCCCAGCATGTGCTATTGAGAGATATACTACCGCTATAATAGGAGGTACTATTTACCAGGCAGAGCTAATAAAACAGGTTGCTTATTTTTAAGCGTACGTCTTCAGGTCCTGCACCCGCACATAGTAACTTCCTGCTTTGCTCCTCATATCTTTCATTTGCCTAATCATTTTTCAAAATAATGTGCAAAGAAACATTTCCGTGAAGGTCAATGCCTCACAACAGCACCGGATTTAGGGAAGTGCAGTTCTCCTAACAACTGTCAGTAGGCTTAACAACCCAAGAGTCTTTGGGGGAATCTTGTGATTGTTCAAATTGATATAATCCTGCTTTAAATGTATAGTGCAGATGGGTCCCATGTCTTAAAACACAGACCCTGCCCAGGTTATGGCACACCAAGTCAAAAACAGCCCACTAGCAATGTATGGCAAGCAATCCAGAGCCTTATAACTCTAATTTTGCTGCCTGGACCTCAAAAACAGAAGAGTTGTCAAGGACTTGGCAAGCCACTATGAATGACTGGTAGATTGTGCCTGGCTTGGAAGCTCCAGCTGGTCAGACTTTATGTAACATGTGAATGGCCATGCAAGTGTATACAGTGGTACCTCGGGTTAAGAACTTAATTTGTTCTGGAGGTCCGTTCTTAACCTGAAACTGTTCTTAACCTGAAGCACCACTTTAGCTAATGGGGCCTCCTGCTGCCCCTGCGCCGCTGCTGCACAATTTCTATTCTCATCCTGAAGCAAAGTTCTTAACCTGAGGTAATATTTCTGGGTTAGCGGAGTCTGTAACCAGAAGCGTATGTAACCTGAAGTGTATGTAACCCGAGGTACCACTGTATAACAGTCCACATACACATTAGGAAGTGAGGACAACATAATATGAAATGAATGACCCTTCATTTCTAGTATGCTCTTTTCCCTGTTCAGTAACTTCACAACACAAAAGTGATGAAGATATATCTAACTTTGTTTCACAGAGTCAGTGGGCCAGTGCCAATTGGCAGGGACAGAGGAATATTTCAAGAAACATTTGTTGAGCGTTGACAAGTTGTAAGAGGAGATCCACCAAACCAATACTCTCGTGACTGAAGCAGGACTGGAAAAGACGTGTGGTTTTCCCAGATTAAACTGTGCATGTAATTAAAGCCTGTGTTATGAAGATGGCAGTTCAGAAGTACCGCCAATTGATTTCTGAACTAAAATACAGAGCGAGGCAATTATTGTACTTGGCATCATGCTAATCCATTTAACCGAGAGCCCAATAACAGGAAACCATTGTTACACAATATGTAACTCAGATTGGGGCGACTGTAACATGATCTTAAAAGCTTCTCTAGCTCTCAGAAGTCAATATACTCCTTGCAAAAAAGGAAGGGTCAGCAAAACGGAGCTGTTACAGACCTTGCTTAAACCTAAAGAAAATGGCCTCATAGACAATGCACTGAGACAATAAAATTAAAGGATGAACTCCAGCTAAATAAAGTAATGGTCCTCCAGTGGAAAGGCAAAATACAATTAGCATTCACATGCTTATTTTAAGATCAATATTTTTTCCTGCTGATTTGCTGAAGAGGCTTTTATGAAGTTTAAGCAGAGTTCATTGTTAAATACTCTTTACCTACAGAGGATATGGTAGGCCATATTAATTCCTGTTTCTTTTGGAGATCAATAATGAGTTTGCTGATTTGTATAAAGTGCTTAGGGATGCAGCAGATGCAATGGGAAGTTGTCCCCTACCATTCCACGCAGCGTGCTCAAAGAACCAGTAGCCCCCGCCTCCACAGTTCAGAAAAACCATGATGGTGAGAGAAAATCTGAAAGGAGAAAAGGGTTAATGGGTTAGGAAACCAGGTGAAAAATTGCTGGTTTTGGGCAGTGACACTGTCGTACCTAAAGGTTGGAAATCAGACTAAAAATCAGATTGACTAAATGACTTAGAATGATAACATTCTTCTCTGCAAATGAGTAAGTTTGTGTTAAATAATTTGAACATAAGCTTACATTACATTAAAGAAAGACTCTTAGCATGCATTAAAAGAAAACAACAACAGGTAATCTCTATATATTTTTACCACGGCAAGACAAAGGAATCTTAGCATGCTATTTTTCTATGTGCAGAAAGGGTTGCTTCTCCCACCTACATCTCTGTTGGAAGCACATTCATATGCCCAACCCTTAAAAATGCAGTCTGAAATGGTATAGCCTGGAAAAGATTTTGCCATTTGACAGGAGGTTACCACCTTACTGAAGGTAAGCAGGTCTGTACTGTAGGTCTGGTCAGTGCTTGGATGGGTGAGTGCCTGGGAACCACATGTATGATGCCTGAGGTTCGCTGAGATATAAATAAACCCACTGCATATGTAGATTGCCTTAGAAATATGTGTATACCTCACTACCCAACTGCAACTAAGCAATGGACCATTTGCCCACCTTAAAATTCTATTTAAACCAAGCAAATCAGGAAGAATACTCAACAAACAGGACACCTGGAGCAGCTTTTAAAAATACTTCTGTCCACACCTTAACCACAAGTTGCTGAGACTAAAATGTCAGGGCAGAATCGGTAGCTTTATCAGACCAGGTGAAATGCAATTGACCCCAGATCCCTGCTGAATTGTAGTATCACCCTTTGGCCATCCGCAGTGGAGGTGCATAATGAGGCCGGTAGCTCCCTCTTCTGGAAAACTACCATGTAGCGGTTAGGAGCCATATGTTTGGGTCTCGTTGACCAACTTCCGGGGCCGTGTCTGCTTGTGCCTTCCAGGCTTTCTAGAGAGACACCTATGCTTCATTCAAGTTTGTGAAATTGCACGTCCGTTATTACTCTCATGAAGGTGCTGCACTAGGTTGCATGGCCAACTTCAGATTCTTGCACCTTCAAAAAGACAAAGATCATACAGCAAACAAGGGCTGTTGTCACAAAATATTTGTATAAACAAAACATTCAGGTCATAATGAGCAGCAGCTTCCTCTGATCCTAGATAAGGAGAGTTATGGAAATTTATAATTTGGCTCATTTTGTTTTGTAGGGAGCCATCAACAGCTGCTGTTTTAGCCTAACCATGCAAAAATATATGGCTTTTGGCATCAGATTTTTTTTTTTAAAAAGGAGACAGAGGAGATTAATTAGTTTCAGTTTAATGAATACTTTTCATGCTTGCCCTTAGGATGACAATGCACTTAGGTGCTAAATAGAGAGAGCATTTTATGAAGAAGAAGAAGAAGAAGAAGAAGAAGAAGAAGAAGAAGAAGAAGAAGAAGAAGAAGAAGGAGGAGGAGGAGGAGGAGGAGGAGGAGGAGGAGGAGGAGGAGGTGGTGGTGGTAGAGAGGGACACTCTTTTTGGTGTTGGTTTTGAACAATGGGAAAAATACTATTCAAACAGCTGGTTATTAAATATTCCACATTTTTCTCAATTTGAAATTGTAACCAAAAATATGACAGTGCATCATTTCAACTGTGCAAGTTGCTGATGCTCTTTCCAGTCTTCCCATGTGCCGCCACCCCCAGCACTGTGCAGGTGTTATGGTGGTTTGGGAGCACAACCATTATGCATTTTCTTTTACTTAACAGCTCTTGCAGGAAATGGAAGGTTATATTACAGATCAATGAGTGGGAAAACGGAATATGACAACCTGAGGTCAGAAGCAGAAGGATAGATGGCATTAATTAATTCTTGCACTTGCTAGAAAAGCTATGAGAGATGCCTCATGCAGCCACCACAGCTGATTCCTGAAGGCTAGACTATTCCATCCATTTCTATACTCTTTTCTGCCTAATATGCAACATTTTGCAAAACAGAGCACCTCTTAAATTACTTCTTTAGTTATTTGAAAATATGCCAGACCATGTTTTTACAGAAATATCCAGCAAATCAGTTTTTAGTGTTAGATACATTTGGAATTTTATTCTTATTTTTGCCTAACAAAGGAGACCCAATATGGCAGTTTATTAATCATATATGATTTTTTTAAAAAAATATCTGCATCAACACATGCCTTTATGCATATTTGTGTTTGTTGTCAAAAAGAACTCTGCCACATTGCTCAACGAAGCCCTCAGGGCAGCTTGCACAATCAGAAGTATACTATAATAATAAAACCTCCTTTAATAAAATGAAGAACAATAACAGCTAAAATCATCAACTTCAGCCATCCTCTTAAATTTTCAATACAGATGTAGCTGTATTTAAAGAGAAGAGGAAGCGCTTAATACCTAGCAATGGATTTGGACATCTACACAAAACTCTTTTCCCATTGGTAAGATTTCATGTGAAAACATTGCTGCTTCATATTATTAAAAGAAAGTAGCCCTGCAAGACTTCTTGTAAAGTTAAAATTTGTCCAACACTTCATAACAGTTTGTCCTGTCCCATTTGCAATGAGTCTATAAATCTTATTATTAAAATATTATTCAAAGTCTTTACTAAAACCTAGTGGGAGGCAAAATAAAGGAAACTGGTAGTCATATTAGATATTTACTTCTCAGTAATACATTCATTTTGTATTCAGTAGTGCATATATATACAGTAAGATATATGGTAATACATATATCTTTCAGTTATACAGAGATCTTATAGATCTCATGTGTACATCTGTTACTAGGTTATTTTATTCATTTCTTTTTTCCTTTTGGATGGCAGGCCAACTATGGAGTGAAGTAGCCATCCAATTAAAATTCAGGAACCGTTTTCCTGATTGTCTGGTCCCATTTAACCTTGAAACCCTTAAGCAACAAATACTGAGAACTGGAATTAAGCCAAAACTTGGTCTTCTCGTAACCAGCTGCTTCTTATAACATGGTGTTCATTTTCCAGACTATTCTGAGTCTGAATTACTTAATGATAGGCCCTTTCTTTGGGTACTTTGCAGACAGTATTGGGGTCTTTGTGATATTTTACCTACCCTTTGCGTAGGGGGTGGCTTGTAAGTTGTGGCAGTAAGGGATGACTGTCATTTAACCCAGTAAGAAAAGTCCTGGAGCAATAGGTGTGCTTTAGCTCCATGAAATAGCATCAGCAGTTGCCATGATGCAGATAGCAGAATGCACCACTGACTCAAGCTTGTTTAAACTTTCCCATGAAATCTTCATTGGACAGATTAATATAAATTAAATTTGGAGCATCTTTTTTTGGAAACTGAAAATGTCAAGGATACCAGCAAGAAGAAATTAAGATGAGCATTCATTCAAGTTGTTGCAGAAGCATTTAGTATTATTTATATTGCACCTTCAGTGTATATATGGTGCTGTACTGAGCAACGTAAACTAAAGACAGGTCCCTGTCTTTAGGCACTTACCATTTTAAATGGTATATTTCACTTCCGCAGATTCTCAGGTACAATGTTCCTCAAACTGTGGTCCACAGAACAGTTGGGATTTGCACCCGGTTTATTTCTTTTGACAATGAAGATCAAGTCTGTTTTGACCGGGGCTGGAGTTATCCAACAGAATCCAACAGAATAACACAGTGCTTCTGCACTCTACTATCTATTCCCTAAAAATGAATCAGTTAAAGGAACCTGCCTTAGTAGCCTTAGTAGCCTAGGGACCATGATACTCATAACATAGCCCTGGTTTTGATAATGGTGCTGGCAGTGAAGAAAATTAATTTATTAGTGGTCCATCACCACTTACAGTAGTCCACGGGTGTGGGGCCAGTTAAGAACCATTGTTACCCATTCATCTGCTTGCCTCCTACATTTGTCCTCTTTCCTCTGTTACAGTGGTACCTCGGGTTAAGCACCGTATTTTTCACCCTATAGGACACACTTTTTCCCCTCCAAAAATGAAGGGGAAATGTGTGTGCATCCTATGGGGTGAATACAGGCTTTCGCTGAAGCCTGGAGAGTGAGAGGCTTCAGGAAGCTCTGCGCAACCCTAGGGAGCCCGGCGCGAAGCCGCGCCGGGCTCCCGAAGGTTGCGCAGAGCTGCCTGCGCTCCCGGGCTTGGCGCAGCTCTGCGCAACCCCCCGGAGCCTGGCGCGAAGCCTAGGGAAGCCCTAGGAAAGCACGAAGCCGTGCCGGGCTCCTGAAGGTTGCGCAGAGCTGCCTGTGCTCCCGGGCTCGGCGCAGCTCTGCGCAACCCCCCGAAGGTTGCACAAGCTCCCAGAGCAATGCTGAAGCTGCACGCACCTTCGGCATCGCTCTGGGACCCGTTCTGGGGGCTGGGGTCGGGGGAAGCCCGGGCTTCCCCCCCCAGCCCCGCAAGCTCCCAGAGCGATGCCAAAGCTGCGCACAGCTTCGGCATCGCTCTGGCTCCTGTTCTGGGGGCTGGGGTCGGGGGAAGCTCAGGCTTCCCCCACCCCAGCCCCGCGCCTGAGGGGGAAAATATTTTTTTTCCCTTTATTTCCCCCCCCCAAAAAAAATCTAGATGTGTCCTATGGGCCGGTGCATCCTATAGGGCGAAAAATACGGTACTTAATTCGTTCCGGAGGTCCGTTCTTAACCTGAAACTGTTCTTAACCTGAAGCACCACTTTAGCTAATGAGGCCTCCCACTGCCGCCGCACCGCCAGAGCACGATTTCTGTTCTCATCCTGAAGCAAAGTTCTTTACCCGAGGTACTATTTCTGGATTATCGGAGTCTGTAACCTGAAGTGTATGTAACCTGAAGCGTATGTAACCTGAGGTACCACTGTATATCCTACCTAACCCACTTCCTCATAAAAAAGCTATTCTGTTTTTAGCCTTTTGACAGGCCATGGGCCTGCTACTGCTCATCTCATTTACCACCGTGGCCTGGTACATGGCTACTGTCCATTTACTCCAATAGCAAAGTGCACAGCCGTTAAGAAGAGCCCAGCTGCATCAAAGACGCA